ACAGTGTTTCTCTGCTATTCATAGAGTTTTCAGTGACTAGTGATTCAGAAGTAGTTTGTCACTCTTTCTTCCTAGTCTGTCTTTGTTTGGAAGCTCATCTGAAACCTGTCCACATGGGTGACCCTGCTGGTTATTTAAAATACCGGTGGCATAGCCCTCAGATTCACAGCAATTCAAACCACCACAGCACGACAGACATCCATTAGTAATTGGAACATAGAACGTATGATAGCATGAATCTAGGAAAATTGGAAATTTTCAAAATGAAATGGAACATATAAAAATCAATATCCTGGGCATTAGTGAGCTAAAATGGACTAGTACTTGTCATTTTTAATTGGACAATCATTTGGTTTACTAATGCTGGGAATGAAAAATTCAAGAGGAATGGTATCACCTTCATTGTCAAAAAGAGCACTGCAAGATCTACCTTGAAATAGTGTTACCTGTGATGGGATAGTATCTAAACACCTACAAAGAAAAGCAGCCAATATACTATTATTCAAATTTATACACCATCCACTAAAGAAATGAAGAAACTGAAGAATTCTATCAATTTCTTCAGTCTGAAATTGATCAAACATGCTATCAAATTTATAGATAATTACTGATAATGGAATGAGGGCACTGAAAACAAAGGAAGGATCAACAGTTGCTGAAGTTAATTCAAAAATCAATTAGCACATCAGCAAATCAACAGGAAGACATCAGAAAGTGAATCTGCATTTAGAAGTGGATGTGGGATAAAAGATATCATTGCTGATGTCAGATGGATCTTGGCTGAAAGCAGAGAACAGCAGAAAGATGTTTACTTGTCCATTAATGACTATGCAAAGGCATTCAACTGTCTGACCCTTAACAAACAATGGGTAACATTGTGAAGAATGTAATGTTTAGTATGAACACTTAGGCTCATACAAAACCTGTACATAGTCATTCGATCAGAAAGAAGGGATACTGCGTGGTTAAAAATGAGAAAAGGTGTGCATCAGAGTTTTAGCCTTTCACCATACTTATTCATCTGTATGCTGAGCAAATAATCCAAGAAGCTAAACCGTATGAAGAAGAACCTGACATCAGGACGGAAGACTCACTGACAGCCTTTGATAGACAAAAGATACTACCATGCTTGCTAAACTCTAAAAGGACTTGAAGCACTTTCTGGTGAATATCAAAGAACACAGCCTTCAACTCAATTAAAAGAAAT